AGGCAAACAGCCGCGATGGCCGCGAAAAATACTACCGGCATTGCGCACAGCTAGACGAGCTCATCGTAAACACGTCAGGATTCGAATATGGCAGCGTTTGGGGCCGAAAGGATAAGATGACGGTGCACTCAAACAAGGAATACGCCGCCGTAACCCTCGACTGCCCTTTGCGAGGGCAAAGCTCATACACCCGCGCTCGTATCGGGTTGGTGGTGCATTCGAGCGAGTCCGAATCCGGAACCATTGAAGTCAATGGCATGCCGCTGAGCACCCACCAACCCAGTACCCACGAGGGCCTGAGAACCCAACACTTTGTGCACGACCGCTTCGAGCTGCCGCTGACGATACGAGTTACAAAGCTTCATCCGGGCGCGCATATCGAAATCACCGGCATCGAGTGCGGAGATTCACACGCACGCTAGCACATGGTACTACCTCCGTTGAGTCGAACATTTCAAATAGCTAGGAATGGACCTCCAGCTCCTAACCAACCAGCTTGAGCTGCCGCACGGACGGTGACCTCACGGCAACACGGGGAAGACAGAGCGAGAGCCACCAAATAAATGTCAAACTCAAAGCACAAAGGCGTTCTCAAATGCACAGCCACGGGCACACATGAGCTAAGTGAAAAAGCCGTATGAATTAGAGCACCTCCGCCCACCTTCTTTCGAAAAGGCAGCAGCGGCGCTAAAGTGCTTCGTGCCTGTCCAGACTGTGTGCCGGTCACCGGGCCCCACGTTGTCGTTGCACGGAGTTCTAAGTTCCTGTGTTAGTGCCAGTGCGCGCCAAGTCCCGTGCCCAGTGTCGTGCGAGGGAGTTCGCTTGTAAAATTCTTAAAGTTTGAGGCCCAATCCGACAATCGCATGGACGCCCACCTATGCAGCCATCGCCGACGTCCTTGCTCAGACGCGCCTCTCAGTGTGGGCTGGTCAGACAGGCGAGCATTGCGCCATGCGTGCTCGGGCGCAGCTTCGGATGTGGACCTGGGAGCAACAGCATGTGGGTCGCAAAATGTCGAGGGACGTTTCGCTGCGGTTCCAGCACGGTTCACTGTGCGGGCAGCCCGGATTTAGCACGGGCAACTGCAGTTGTGAAGGGCGCGAGTACACCACCGTGCATACACGGCCGCCGGTGGGCGCGGCGCTTGCGGTCCTCCTCCAGGGCGACATCCGCGGCTCGGAGGCCGATGGCGTGGAGTGCGCCCTCAGCATCGAGCGGCACATCGTGCAGCCGACCAACTCGAGCGTCTTCCTCACTGTGTACGAAGAGCCGTCGGCGAGCGCTTCGCGGCCGTGTGACCGGCCGCATCGTGAGCTTCACTCACTCGAGCCGGCGAACGCAGTTCGACAACATGTTCCTGTTGCTCCGCATTCTCTCCGAGTACGAGGCCGCGCACGCGGTATCCTTCCCAAGCATCCTCATAGTGCGGAAGGACCTGGCCTTCAAGCAGAGCCTGCGACCGTTTTTGCTCGACACACGGCTCTACAGCGACGACGGCGAGGTGGAGCACGGCGTGGCCTTTGCGTGGCGCGAGATCAACGGCGAGTGGCGGCTGTTTTCCACCCAACGGGTCTCGAAGGAGACGCTTGCGAGGAACAAGCGCACGCCCGACACGCTCCACCTCGTGAGCCGCTCGTTCCTTCCAATGTGGCGAATGGTCGTGGCAAACCGCAGTAAATGCGCTCCACGAGGTACTCACGAGCCGTGCGAGGTCGCTCTTGGAGCCGCGAGAGTCTATCGTGCGATACCTCGTGCGCGGTGCGTTCGACTCCAACCCGGACCGCATCCTCGCCAGTCCCAACCCGCTCTACAACTTTCTGCCGCAAAAAGGCGACGAGTTTCTTCGAACCCAACAGACGGCGGCTCGCCTTAACCCCTCCAACCGGTGGCAAACGGAGGCGGGCCTCTGCCAGACGAGGGCCGACTTTGCCGAGGACCCGTCGTCTGGCTGGGCGTGCTGCCCGTCCCCCGAGAATTTGCTGCCCGGCTGCGCTGGGCGACTGCACGAGCCCGGAGGCGCAGCTCTATGACAATCCAAGCCCACACCCCGCGATGCTGGCCCACTACAGAAGAAGGAACCCCGTCGTGCGTCGCGGCAAACGGCGGGAAACCTCGCTGCGCGATGAACGACGCCGGATGCTTCGCGAGGCAGTGCAAGTACGCGGTGACCAATCGGACGCTGGAGGCGATGCTGGCGGCGCCGGGCTTTCGAGCAAGCGCGATTGCGCCCAGGCCTCAGGGCAAGGCGTGAGGCATGGGCGGGGCGTTGGTATTTACTTCCTCCCCTTAAGTTTCTGCCGTTGACGTCTTGGCACTACACACAATCATACGCGCGTGCCCAGACCCCAGACCACCCCTGTGTGTCGGTGAGACTACCCCGACCCTCAATTCGTCTTCATGCTTCGTGTGGTGAGGACGCGGACGGCTTCTCTCACCTCTCTCAGCTGGAGAGAAGACGTTATGTCTTCGATCTCATATGCTTCATGGACTCTGGAAGGGCGCCTCCGCGTTCCGGTCGTTGCTCGCCTGACAACTCCGGACCCCTGGCGCTACGTAGCCAGTTTATGTACCTTGGGCGTTGGGGAGAGTGCGCACACACCGCACGCGGGTGGCGGGACGAAAGACACAGCCCGTGTGCAAACATCCAAGAGACGGCTTTTTCGTTTATTGGTTCCCTTTTACTGGACACGTTCGCGTTTTCACAATTCATGTCACAAAAGACCGTGCCAGCATTACCTACAGCCACTAACTATGTTTTGAGCGAGGACCGCTCGGGCTCGCAGCCTCGCACACACACTCGTCCTGGCCGCCACACGGTCCTGGCTGGGCGCGCCGCCTCGCAGCTCGTGAGAACCCCCTAGCGGCGCCCTGTTCACGCGCGCGCGACGTGAAGAGAGGGAGGGTTCGACGTGTGAGTGAGTGAGTATTCTTGATACGAAAAACCACGACGACTCGACGACACACACACACCAGTCGACTCGCATCGGTTGCCTCCATGAATGGCGGAGCTATTCTCGCGTCCACACTACACCTGGCTCCAACGTGTGGACACGCCCATAGCTCGGGACACTACTAGGTCACGCATGCATGGCATCAGAAGTTTTTATCTCTGGGCCCCGAAAGGCATCTCCAGCAGCTTTACTCTTCCGCCCTCCCCTTCCCATCTCGATTTCTTGTGCGAGGGACGTTGTAAAATCCCCGCGGCAAATTCTTTTGCGCGGCAGGGCGGCCATTTGAGTGATCGGCGGTCCCAATGTCATTCGCAGTGAACAACACCTACCGTCAGGCCAAGGCCCCTGCCAGGGACAAGCTCCGTCCGTCGGCCAGGCGCAGCCGCCCTCAGGACTCCTTCGACCCGAACGGAACGCTCGGCTCCTTGTGGTGCGAGCCGGATCCTGGCGCCGTGGCGGCCGCCCGGCTGCCGTCGCCGGCAGTGGATGAGCTGGCCGCGCATCCTGCTCCTGAGGCGGAGGCGCTCGACGCGAGCGCACCGCCGCCGGCCGAGGCTGAGGCAGAGGCGCCAAAGGCGGTGGCGGCGGAGCCGGCGCAGGAGGCGCAGGAGGGCGATCTGGGAGGAGGCAGAGAGGAAGAGGCGGAGGCGGAGCGCGCATTGGAAGACGTGCCGGAGCCGGGCGAGGCGAGCTGCGAGTGTGGTCTGGAGAGCGAGTGCCTCCCGACGGCGGCCGAGGCGCAAGAGGCGCCGGCCGAGCTGGTGGCGGCGGGCGCTCCTGCCGGCTCGTCTCAGCCCGCCAACCTCTTCTCTTGGGAGGGGGCGGCGGCGGCGAGCGGCACCCCTCCGCCCCGGGAGGGTCTTCCGGCGCGCGTGGCCCCGCCCGCGGTGGCGGCGGGGGCGACCCTCCCTTCCTCGCAGCCGGCCAACCTCTTCTCTTGGGAGGGGGCGGCGCCAGGCGAGGCCGCCGGCAAGCCGCCCGCCGCTGGGCGCCGCTCGCTGCCGAGTGTGGCCAAGGTGGCGTCGGTGGCGTCGGTGGCGCGCGCGTACCAAAAGGCGGCGCTGGCGAACGGGACGCGCTCCTCGACCCCGTCCAAGTCCCCCCTCACCGCCGCGTACGAGCGGGCGGTCCAGCAGTCCTCCGCCCCCTCCCCGAGCGGAGGGAGGACGCCGCAGCTGGCGCGCGCGTACGAGAGGGCGGTCGAGCGCGCCGCCAAGCCCGCCGGGGCGACGGCGGTGGCGACGGCCAAGGCCGCCTACGAGCAGGCGGTGCGCGCCGCCGGCGTACCAAAGGCGGCACCGGTGGCCACCACGGCGGAGCTCTTTAGCTGGGCGTCTCCGCCGCAGCCAGACGAGCGGCGGCGCGGCTCTGGCGCGGCGGCGGGCGAGCGCCGAGAGACAGGCGCGGGAGCACCACGCAAAACGCCCGGCCCCGGGCAGAGCAAGCCGCACGGCAGCGAGCCCTCGCAGCCGCCCGCACCGGCCGACAGGGCGCCGCCGCAAGCCGCCCTCTCGGCGGCAGCAGCTGCTCCGCCTCCGGTCACAGTCCCGCCGGCCGACGGAGACGCGCTGTCGGAGGCCGCCCGCTCGCTCCTCTCCCTCTTCCTCGCACCGCTCCACCGCGCACTCGCTCCGCGCGGCGCACCCGTCTCCGCCGCCTCGGCCGCCGCCTCGCTCCGCGGCTTCGGCGCCTCGGCCGGCTCGGTCGAGCTGCTGCTGCCGTGGCTCCTCGCGGCGGCGCACCGGAACGCGCCGCTCGACGAGGAGCTGATCCGGATCATCCGCGCCGGCAGCTCCCTCCCGCCGCCGACCCCGGTGCCGCCGCCCCCGGCTGCCGCGCCTCCGCCGCCAGCTCCGCCCGCCAACGCACCGCGCCCGGCCGAGCTGGCGGCGGCAGCCTTGGCGGCGGCGGCAGCGGCGCTAGCCGCGACCACCTCCCCCCCCCCCCGGGGGTCCGCCGAAATGACGAAACCGCCGGACTCCGCGGCGGCGGCCCCCTCGTCCGCGCCCGCGCCATGCGCTCCGCCGCAGCCGCCGCCGAGCAGCAGCCTGTCGCAGGCGGCGGAGCACGGTGGCGGCGGCGGCGGCGCGGGGCGCGAGGAGGAGTCCCGCGAGGAGGCGGAGGAGGAGTGGTCGAGGCCAGCGGTGGGGTCGGTGGAGGACGAGGCGGAGGGAGGCGGCAGCCTCGTCGCGGGCGGCACGGCGAGCGGTCGGCGGGAAGCCCCGCCCTTGCTGCCGCCGCCAGGGCACGAGGCCTCTCCGGCCGAGCGTCCGGCGGTCGACGTCCTGCCGCGGAGGGCTCCAGTTCGCAAGTCGGTGATGTGGGTGGTGGGCGAGGAGCTGCCGGAGGAGGAGGAGGAAGAGGACGCTCGCGCCCCCGCTGCCGAGCCGCCGGCGAGCAAGTCGCCAGCCGCAGCTCCGCGACGCAAGGGCGTGGCGTGGATCGCGGGCGAGGATCCGCCTGAGGGGGCGGCTGGCGAGGAGGAGAACAGCATGTGCCTTCGAAACTCCTGCGGCAAGGACGGGGCGCCGCCCGTCTCCACTCGCCCCACGAGTGCCATGTGGGTCATCTGAGCGGCCGAGAGATCGCAGCTGCAGGAGTGGAGTCTACATCTCGTTGGGGACTAGTCAAGTAGTGTATC